ATCATTTTAAAATAAAATGCTGGCCATCCTCTCATTCTGGGACTCTTCTGTTTTTAGCTATTGGGGTAGTTCAGTAGATATGATTTAAGGGTCTGAAGAAGATAGGTATATTAAGCAATCTGAAAGAGTTTTCTGTGCTTCCTCATTTTCACACTTGTGTATGTGATCTTGAATTTTGTCTGAGTCATGATTACATGTACTTGAGAATTGCACGTGTGTGTTTGTGCATGTGTGTGTGTTTTAAAGTCTAGAATAACTTCACAACAATTGTGATCTGTGGAGACAACTAAGTTGGTAAAGCACTTACCATTGTAAGCATAAAGATGTGAATTCCATTCCCAGAGCCAAATCTAGTCGGATGTAGTGGTGATAGCATATTCTTATAATCCCAGTAATGGGGAAATAGAGATAGGAAGATCCCTGAGGTTCACTGGTCAGTCAGCATAGCCTCAATTGGCAAATTCCAGGCCAAGTGAGAAGCTCTATCTCACCTGATAGTTCTTATTCTGGAGGAATGGTATTGGACACTGACACCTGGCTTCCATGTGCACCCACAAATATGAACACCTGTGCACACATGCATGCACACAGACAGGACAAAGGACACTCTCAAGATGAATAAACCGGCATTTTATGGACAGTGTCACTCACCCACACTGCAGTGTGTTGTGGTAGGTGTGGGTACTTACTGTAGGAGCATCCATAGACCTCCACTCTCATGCCAATCTTCCCATTTGGATTCCACTCCAGGGGCACAAAGCGAAGAAAGCGGGCTCTCACAGAGTGCAGCAGCTTGTGGTGCACCACACTGTCAGCATTCATGTTTCCTACAAATGTCTGCAGATGAAGGAAGACTCCATGAACTTGACAGTACCAAGTAATGTCAACAGAATTATACATTTTCCACCCAGACTTTGGGGGAAAAAGATACTCTCAGCCTCTCTGACATTGAGCTGGCTTGGGTGACCATCCTACACTGTGTGATATATTTTTTTCACAAATACCAAATATTGTTAAGACACTCCTCTCCCTACCCTCCATGTCTAGCTAAATTTTATGAATAAAGTAAATTGTTAGCCCTAACCCCTGAAGCTTTACAAAATTAATAGCACCATACAGTTCTAGTTTTTCATGTGTTTATAACCACTGTGGACTCCAAGGTAACTGACCATCCTCTCTTGGAAGAAAAGGCCTTTTATTGAAATAATTGTCATCACTATTTAAGGTCAGTCACTATGCTAAGCACTTAATATTATAGTTATCACCATTTTAAAGACAAAAACTGGAGTGCAGAAAGAGGAGAGAAAGAAGGAAAATCTTCAATCACCCAGTTAGTTAGAACTGGGGGTTCTATTCCAAGGTTGTTCCAAAACTCATGTTCTTTTTTTGCAGCCCCCACACTCAGACTATTTGTCATCTGTTTTTTTTACAGGAAGGAACCATCACAATTTAGGTATATATGTGTATCATTTCCCATTTCTCTGTGATGTTTATGCAAAAAAAAATCATACATGCTCAGTCAGTAAGAATGCTTACTACATAAACATGAAGACCAGAGTTCAAATCCTAGCACCCATATAACAAACTGGGTGCAGTCCCATACACACTGCAATCCCAGCAATGAAGGAAGCAGGTAGGAAGACTACTGGGAGTTGTTGGTTCTCAGCCCAGTCAAAAAAAACACAAGCTTTTGGTTCAGTGAGAGACAATGTCTCAAAGGAACAAGGCAGAGAAGGATAGAAGAGGGTGCTTAAATCCCTTGTGTAGTCTAGCCCCTGTGCATGTGTGCAGGTTCACTCACCCATACACACATGTCCATGTACCACACACATATATGTACCACACATACATATACCACACACATATGTATACCACACATATATATACCACACACATATATACCACACACATATATACCACACACATATATATACCACACACATGCACACACACACACACACACACACACACACACACACGCTACAGCACAGACCTATTTGGTTCACTTGCATTATATCTCATAGGCTTCACATGTACAAGTGATTATTTTAGAAGAACTAATTTTTGGTAGATTGGTTCCAAATGCTTAAACCTCATGATTTGAAAAAAAAAAGGGGGGGGGTCAAACATACAAGATTCATCACTGAAGCCATTTTGAAGATCATAATTCTGTGTCATTAAGTGCATGAATGTTGTACAACTGTTTGCACTGAGCATTCCTGAAGAGTTGTCAGCATTCCAGCGACTTCTCTTCTTTAAGACAAGCTGTCAGTTAATACACTGAGGTACATTTCATGATGAATCATCATTGTCCATCTCAGCCCAGGGAATCTATAGAGAGAGCCTGCCTACCATGTACAAGCAACACCAACCGAAGAACAAAAGATCTTCTGCTTCTCAATGGCCTAAGTAAACACAATGCAAGAGGATTTTGACCCATTATAATGGAATCCATTTTCAAATACCTCAAGCAATGTCAACAGAAGAAGACCTTAAGTGTATCCAGGGCATCCAATCTCTGATGCTAAGATACTCTCTATATCTAATTCTAGGACACTGAAATAACCACCATGTTTTACAATAAGATGGCTTGTAGATAAGATTAGAGATAATTTCCTGTTTTGCTGACACATAATGCTGTGTAAGCAAAGAAGGCTTTGGGCTGGAGCCGTAGTTCAGCTGGCAGAGTGTTTGCCTAGCAAGCATGAAGCCCTGGGTTCCATTCCCAGCATTACACGTCCCTGCAATCTCAGTATTTGTGAGGTACAGTCCTGAAGATCAGAAATTCAAGATCATCCTCCATTCCATAAATAATTTGAGGGCACCCTGGGATATGTGAAAGTGAGAAGGACTTGATTCAAGTCCTGCATTTCATTCTATAGATTTGTTAAAGTTAAACAAAAGTTTAAGTTTCACTTTCTATTCCAACAGGAAACTTATTCAGCAGGGCTGTACTTCCACAGGTCCTGCTCTGAACCTCAGCAGCTGGCCTTGTGTGCAACTATGTTCTCCTGTTCATCTTCAAAACACCCATCCCTGTGCAACTTGGTTCTTCATAAGTGTCCTTGTGTCCGTACCTCTTTTATTTGCATCAGAGGAAGGAAGGCAAACTTCTAGAACTTTAGAGATTTCTCATCACTTGAGATTGCAGGGATGTTATTTCACATTTTCCTATACTCTAGTGAAGGCCTCTCTCTTCAGCCCTCTGGATTCTCTACTGAATTTGTATGATAAGTTCTACCTCCCAGGCATGTGGAATCCATGTTATGGATTAATCTATAGTACCATATATCTAGCCAAAATGAATCAGAGAAACATATTCAAAGAAGGAAAATAGGTACCTTCCTTGATTCTGTATGATTTTAAGACAGAAAATTTAAAAAACTATATATATACAAATATTATACTTATGTATATATACATAATAATTTTTTTTGAAACAGGGTCTTATGTATCACAGACTAGCATCAAATTCACTATGTAGATGAGGATGATCTTGATCTTCTGATCTTACTGTTCTGGTTCCTGACTGCTGGCATTACAGGCATGAGTCACCACATCTGGTTTTAGGCTGTGCTGAGTATGGAACCAGGACTTCCTGCAAGCCAGGAAAGCATTCTACCAACTGAGCTGTGCCCCGGGACCCTACAACAATATTTAAATTCTTCTTGTATAACTGCAAGAAAGTTTATCTTATGACCTGGAAATGCATTGAGTTTATCCTTTACCTTGTATCTGATATGCTCTGAGGAGGAATCTGGGATTCTTAGTCAAAGGCACAGCATTCTGGTATGGTAGTGTGGCTCTGGGTCATCCTACAATATGCTATCTCCCAGCCTCAGGGTTGCAGCCTGTAGTCTGTATTTGGGCACGAGGCTCCATGTTTCCATGCCCTATCATTTACAGCTTCTTAGTCTGAGGCTGAAGTCCAAGTAGATCCAAGGTCTTATAGTTCTAAGATGTCCAAGTTTGCAGTGCATGGTACCAGGGCCTTTTTGGAGCTGACAGTCTAACTTCAGCTCAGAAGCACTGAAAGAAAGCTGGGGAGATGTTTAAATTTGAAATTGTATGCAAGCATGAGGCCTTGAATTCAACCCTCAAAACCCATAAAAAAAACCAAGGTGTAGCAATATATGAATATAATCCCAACACTGAGGAGGCAGGACAGTAGGATCACTGTGACCTGCTGGTTGGCTAATCTCACTGATAGGTGAACATGAAGTTCAGTGACAGATCACGTCTCAAAATGAATAAAGTGGAGACACACAACCTTGGCCTCTATCCTCCACACGAATGTGCATGACTCTATAGACACAGACTTCAGATACATATATGTAACACACACACACATACACACACACACACACACACACATACAAAAACTTAATGCTAGGCCAATTGAGTGTAAACAGAACTGATCTTTTACCAAGTTTATCTGTGTGAGAGGAGATAGTAGAAACTCTGAGTGAAGTTCAACAATGCTATTGCTTTATTCCCCTGATGACCTCCATGTGTACATAAAGCAAGGTTTCTGCTACTGAGTGATTTCCATGGTTACCATCATCAGTACCATTCTGGAGGGACTCCTCCATGACAGCCACTTGTTAAGCTTTTGTTATGCATTAGTTCACCTTATCGCACCTCAAGGGAGGCTTCAGCACATTTCTTCACTAAGGAGGCACCACACCATAGACTGAGCCTTCAGGAATGACCATGCATCTCACAATGCTGTGATCAGATAGTGTGGTGTCCTCACTTCACTGAAGAGAGCCTGGGACTCAGACACGTTAAAGATGTAGACACATTGAAAAAATCAGGGTGGATCCTTAACATTTCCAATCTTGAGTGATTTTATGTACACTACAGTTCTAGTGTTTTAGTTAATTTCCCTCAAACCCATCTCAAGCAGTGATATACTGAATTTGTGCACAGGTGACATATAGTTTTAATGAGAGAAATATGATTGCTGTTAAGTAACATGCAGATAATTTTTAATAACATTGTTTATAAAAGAAGGATGAGAGAGAAGCAGAGAGAGAGAGTATGGGATAGAGATTCCTATAGACTATATTTGTTAAGATACCTTTACATGAGAGTGTATTCTGTATTTTGAATCAGGGATTTATTAATACCTGGAAGTCTCATGCAAGGGATTTACGAATTAATACTCACATTTTCCAAATGACATTCAAAGGCTTTTGCTCCAAAAGAGTACATACTAAAGCTAAGGGAAGACTGGAAACTCAGAGCTAATCATAAAGGCATTTTATTTGATTTGATAAGATACATTTAATAAGGCAAAGGGTAATTAACATGCAAACTGCAGGGTTAAAGATGAAATTTATAAGCCCACTCCAGCTTCCTAGTTCCCAACTGTTCTTCTAGGAGGTGTACATAAATGAATTTCCAGCAGGCACGCACAATAGAAAATGAAGATGTTAAATACAAGGCATTGGCCACTATTGGTGACTGAGTAGGGCCCTAAAACATTAGACTTTAGGAGATTAAAGGGAGACTTCAAACACTGAATTCTCTGTCTTAACTTTCCTTATTACTGATGAATGTCTGTTCCATCATTGTAAATGCACAGAAAAATGTATCTACCATTTTACAGGGTGGCCTTTGAATTGGGATTAAAGGTTATAATTTGATGACTATATAGGAACCCAAATGTATCTTCGTGATTGGTAAAGGGAGATAGGTGATACATGTAACTGTTCTCCCATGACACCTTGATTCCTTTGTCTGGTTATTGCTTCCATTGTAAAGCAATAATGCAAAAATTTTAGGGAGCAGTATAGACCATCTTGACTTACAGTGGTTCAATTTAAGATGGTTCAACTCAGGAATTTTCAATATGGCAGTGGTGCAAAAATGTGGGTTTAGTAAAAATCACACAT